ATTTCCTTTCAAAAAAAGTTTATACAAGTTGTTAAATTCTCACATGACCTGGACGTTCTCATTCAATCCTAAGACCTTATAATTTATTCCAGACAAAAAAGAGCGAGTTTGAAGAGGTAAGGTTACATCCTAAAATTTCCGGGGTCCTAAGAAGACTCGACGAAAACCTCGTTTTATTAAGCGGGAGTGAATTGCGGATACGATCCCGCGGGAGCATACATTCAAGTAAGAAAACTAAGGAATAAAAAGAAGATACCTTGGGTTGTGATTGGTTAGTGGCAGAACAGATGCGACCCGCTTTTGAGCGAGAGCTGGCCAACGCCGCAAAATGACAAATAGGCATCGTGTTAAGTAGACCCCACCCTATTTATTATTATAATTTTTTAGAATATTTAAAAATTATTAAAATATTTCTAAATTTTGTTTGGGCATCTAATAAAAGATCCCTCTTTTTTTATCATGAGATTGGGTATAGAGGGTGCTAGCTAGTTTTGGGGCTGTAAATGGTGAGTTGGCCCGGCCCTCAAAAGTAGGGCTTAGGCCACAAACTTTGTCCTGGGGGATAGACTAGGGCTAGCGTCAGCCCAATTCAGCGCGGCTTAGCCCTCTTTTTTATGTTTTTAATTATTTTTTCATTTGTTCTTGGCCCAAGCCAACCCTAAAAGGCCTAGGCCCGGCCCTGTGAATACAAGGATAGGGTTAGGGGCAGGGTTGGCCCGGGCCAGGCCCGTTGCCATCCTTAAGCTAGACAATCGAGACAAAAAAAAAAAAAAGAACAAAAACCATATTTTCGAAAAAAAAAAAAACAAAACAAAACAAAAGAAAGCAAAACCATACTTTCCTCTTGGCCTAAACATGGACATTGAGCTCTTTCAACAAATAACAATATTACATGTAGAACTTGTGATTAATGAAAATGTAGTTGTGTTCAATATAAGAATGGAATTGTACCCACTTAGAAAGAAACTAGGGTTGAGTACCTAATCAATCCAAGTTACTTTCTAAGTGGGGACACTTCCAAGTTTCTAACAATATGGTGGCCATCCTGTGGAGGGTGGCAAGAGTAGATTGTGGTGATATGCGTTGCTAACGAGGCTGAAGTTTGGGCATTTAGGATCAGGGTTCCAAGCGACAACCGGTCCACACCAAATTGGCGATTGAAGGAGACTCATCCAATGTTATTTTTATGGTTCACTGACCCCTCAATGTCCCCATGGAGATGGGGACATACAGTGTATAAGATGTTATGCCGTTTGTTTCACAAATATTGCATTTTCTAGCACATCAACATCAAGATAAATGGTGTTGCTTTCCCTTGTATAGAGGGCCTTTTGTTGGTTTTCCTTTCTCTGATGTTAGGTTTGATGATAGTCAATATCACCATACATATGTTCTCATTAAAAAGATTTAAGTTATTATGGTTGAAAGAGAAGGGATTTTTTGGGGAGCAGGAAAGAAGCTCAAATAATCTCTATAGGAGGGGATCAATGATAGTATAATACTCATCATTTTGATGATCACTCATTTGGAGGTTATGAAAATAGATCTCCAAATAGAAGATGAGTCTCCAAGAGAAAAAGACTTGGCCTCTTAAATAGAGGTGGTATTCTCATGAAGTTTTGGGTTGATTTAGTTTCCACTTTTAGAAAGAGAAAGTTTTTCAATTGCTTTCGAAGTTATTTTTCCGGTAGCGATATTGCGGTGGAAAAGAAGATATTGATTGATGAGGTTGCCCGATCGGGAGAGCGGGTTTAGAAGGGAAGATCGGTAATGTATATCTCTTGTAACCCAAAATTGTAATCTTCATTGTGATAGTAGATTTCTAGTTACTGAGGCCGTAGATGTAGGCCTACGGGGTAAACTACTTAAATTGTGTGCTGTGGTGGTATGTTTTTTATGTTTATTTTATTTCTTCCACTCAATTTATAGTTGTATTCATCCACTTCGCATTTAGTCATGTGTACACAATCTTGGTGGGATCCCCATGTTTGATATTCGCAGTTCCACAAGCTAGGGGTTTTGAAAACCCTACAATTGATATCAAAGCACAAGGTGTGTCCAGGGCTTGGCTTGCATAAAAAAAAAGATGAATGACGATGTTTGATGGATACATGGTTTGAGGTGGAGAAATATGGCTGCAAAGCTTTTGTGAAAATTCCACAACGGAGGCAAGTAAGTCGAAATCAATAAATCTATTCAATGAAGGTCGGTAAGACGAATTTGGTGATTTTGCTATCAAGGTGAAGATTGTTAGGTTTGGTTCACCACAACTATATTTTATAGTAAAAATTGAGGGTATTGTGGAAAAAAAAAATGAAGCAAGAAAGTGATGTATATATATGTGAATCAAGTAAGACATAATACCCATCCTTTAGAGGGTCACCCATTTGGGGGTTATGGAAAGGGATCTCCAAGATGGAGATTGGTCTCCAAGAGAGAGAGAGAGACATAGCATTCAAGAGAGAGACGATATTCCCATTTATTTTAGGTTGGTAAGTCTTTCATTTCCAGTGAGAAAAAATCTCTTGATCGCTCTTGAGGTTATTGATCGTCGGTGTTTCTCAGTAGAAAAAGCGAGTTTAGAGGAGAAGATTGATGACAGTTTTTATCGATGTTTAAAAAGAAATATTATCTCTTATAACTTAAAATTGTATTCTTCATTGTGATAATGGATTTCTACTTGTTGATGCTGTGGATGTAGCCCTATGGGGTGAATCACATAAATCGTGTGTTGTCATGGTGGTACACCTTGATTTTACTATTAAGGTGGAGGTTATTGGGTTTAGTGATAGTCAAAATCACCACACCTATATTTCATATTAAAAATTGAGGGTATTGTGGGAAAAAAAAATGAAATTTCTTAAGAAGCAAGAAATTGATATCTATATAAGTGAATCAAGAAAGGCATAATACTTATCCTTTTATGTGTCGCCTTTTTGGGGGTTATGGGAAGGGATCTCCAAAATGGAGATTGGTTTCCAAGAGAGAGAGACATGGCATTCAAGAGAGGGCAATATTCCCATTAATTTTGGGTTGGTAAGGCTTCTACTTCTAGAGAGAAAAAATCTATCGGTTGCTCTTGAGGTTATTGATCGACGGTGTTACTCAATCGGGAGAACAGGTTTAGAGGGGAAGATTGATGATGATTTTTATCGCTGTTTAGAAAGATGTATTATCTCTTGTAACCCAAAATTATACTATTCATTGTGATAGTGAATTTCTATTTGCTGATACTGTTGATGTAGCCCTAAATTGTACTATTTAATGTGATAATGGATTTCTACTTGTCGAAGCGGTTGATGTAGCCCTATGGGGGTAAATCGCGTAAATCGTGTGTTGTTGTGGTGGTGTACATTTTTTATGTTTGCTTTATTTCTTGCACTCAAGTAATAGTTGTATACATCTACTTCGCATTTAGCCAATCATGTATATGATCTTCGGTGGGATCTC